TCCCCCGGCCCCCCCGAGAACGTACGTGACCATGTTAGGCCAGCCACTCGGGCTCTCACCCGAGGAGACTTCCAAAAGGCCTTTGACGTTTTAAACTCTCTCGATGTCTGGAGATTGCTCAAGAACCGGGAAACCGTCCTTGATATGGTCAAGGCCAGGATCAAAGAAGAGGCCTTAAGGACTTACCTGTTCACATACTCGACCTCGTATGAGTCCCTGAGCCTTGACCATCTCGCCAAGATGTTTGATCTATCCGAATCCCAAGCCCACAGCGTCGTGAGCAAGATGATGATCAACGAGGAGCTACATGCCAGCTGGGACCAGCCGAGCCGATGTGTTGTCTTCCACGACGTGCAGCAGAACAGGTTACAGACCTTAGCCTTCCAGTTAACCGAGAAACTCTCGATTCTCGCAGAGAGCAACGAGAGGGCAATGGAGTCGAGGACAGGCGGTGGTGGTCTTGACCTGAACACGAGGAGACGGGACAATATCCAGGACTATGCGGCTGCAGCCGCGGGAGGAGGTCTCAGCGGGAAGTGGCAAGACAACATGTCTTACACGCAAGGAAGACAGGGAGGCAGATCTGGGTACGGTGGAGGGAGGATGTCTGCAATTGGTCACCAGAGCGGCAGGGACTGGAGCGGACAGAACCGAAGAGGCGGCGGCTCAGGGAACAGGAGTATGCAGATGGATGGCTCAAGCCGTATGGTAAGTCTCAACCGAGGGATTCGTGCTTAAGACAGATACTGAACCCGACCGGAAGAGAAGAAACCTAAAAGAGAAAAACCTGTTTTGCTTCTGTTTTGTTCAACCTTTGTTTGTTGCTTTTTGAATTAATCTCAAGAGTGGTATTTTCCTGTCGTACGAATTGTTGAGCTTCTTGTTTTTGCTTATGAACATAAAACGAGAGACTATATGTGGGTCTTCTTCTTCCGAGGGATGTTCCGATATTATATATATATATATATATATAATCTAAAAGCATGCGTTTCCCATCTGTTGCATTTTAAATAATCGTATATAAGGTTTTGATTTTTAGAACCTTTTCGTGAAGTTTGTTAAAACTTTGAAAAACATAAATATAATATATAATAGTTAAATAAAAAAGAGACCCGAGCAGAATAGGTAGACGTTAACGAAGTACAACAAAAGGAAAAATGCAGGAGGAACGGTCCAAAGCTGATGAGAATACTGTTTGTATATCATATAAAATTATTTATAAACGTTTGTTTTTTTATGGAAATGTGAATCTATTAACTATAAAATGACTTTACAAATAGTTTTCGTTCGAAAACAAAATTGGGATCCCTTAGCAAGTGGTATACAAAAGACTCGTACTCAGGTAATCAAACATCTAGCGATCTATAAGTTTATAAATTATTTATAAACTTATCTTCAGGCACTGTATTGAAACGCGTTGTCAATCACTCATAACTGAACAACTGCGGTGCACTACATATATGAACAAATCTATAGCTGAATTGAATTCAGGAGAACAAAAAATGGAGGCTTTATGGATAGGAAAGTAATTAAAATTCGGATACTTGGTCGAGATGAGATCGAGTGGGCGACTTTGCGATATAAAAAAAAAATCATGAAGGTCGACAAATGGACATTAGGGTTTCAATTTTCGAGAGGATTAAAGGGGAGGGGGCAATTTCGCAATTTCGGTTTGTTCTCACCTCGCCTCGTCTCGTCTCTATCCGCTGGCCTTTGCCTTCGCCTTGACCCGCATGCCCCTCGGACCAAGTGAGCCTTTCCTTGACTCTCACCTCGCCTTGCCGGTCATCTCACCGGATGCCCCGCGAATATCCAAACCCAAGCCACAGTCAACGGACACTCAAGTACCGAGAAACCCAAGAGAGGCAAGAACGAAATCGAATATCCCGAAAAACTCGGATACCCGAACTATGACAACCCTAACCGGAAGAAGACGTGGAAAGATACCGACGACACCCCTAGCGAACTAAGACAAGACACGTGGAAAATAAGACCAAAGCACTTGCAACAGACAAAGCCAAAGATTCGATTTTGTTCCTTGGCCTCTTCCTACATGACAAATGGTAAACCCAAGACACCATCTAATTCTCACAATTCTCGATGAACTGCAAAAAAAAATTAACCGAACAAAGGGACAAGAGATGAAGGAAAATACGTGAAAATTAGAATTATAATATCTCACATGAAGTAAATAATGTTTTTTTTATATAAAAAAACACAAATCTGACCAAATATCAGTAGCCAAACAATCTCATGGGTGGGGGTATTTTCATTCATCTGAGCTCTCTCCCAAACATTTCTTCTCCTCGAGGGGTTGGCCTAAAATAGGGCAAAGGAAGAGTATCTTCTTCGCATATAATACACTATTCCGAAAGGTGGGGGATGCTAAATCTAATTTTTTTTATAAAAAAAAAAGTAGCAACCGAAACACAAAGCGTAGGGACCCAAAGGGGAATAAGGCTGATTTCTTTGGAGTAAAATACCATACCACCAGACAGAAAGATACGCGTAAGAAGACATTGTGGCTTGTGATCCGAGCTTTTTTGTGGGGATCACAGGAAGTAGTCGGGTGTCCTTCGGGTGACATCGGGTTCTCCTCTCCTCGGTGCTGGTTCAAACTGTTGCATCATCACCGATAAGTCGTTTTGTTACCAGAGTTAACGGAACACGTGTTCGAGCAAATCACATTTTACATAAGTGGTCAGATACCTGAATGAACGTGTGGCCCCTGCAGTCATCGACCTCAAGAATCGAGGCCATGTTTCCACATCGGTAGCAATAGTTTGGTGCACTAAAAATAGTTACCACCTTTTGCTCCTATCAACGGAAAAAAAATGTAATCAGCGAAGAATCTTTAGACTGACTGACTAATCAAAGCAAGAATGAAAAGTTCGATTGTATTACGTGTGCCCAGTTGAATCCATCCATAACCAGCTGATGGGCTCGGGCGATAAGTTTTAAATTGTTAGTGTGATTGAACTGTTCAGATATGTCCTGTGGAAACAGATTTGAAAAAAAAAATAGATAATCAGTCACTTTGCAGGAGGAAAATAACAGATTCAGGACAATCTCCAAACAATAGAATTTGTAATTTACCTGACCAAAAGTATATCCAGCACCACGAGGTGAGATACCCCAACCACATCTGTCATCGGGGTCAGACCATAACAAATCACACATAGGTCCTTCGTGCGGAACTTCTTGCACTCTGTCAAAATTCCTTATGTTGTCAAGGGTTTCAATAGATGGGGACAAACCACCATGAAGACAGAATATTTCGGATTCAACCTGCAAAGAGGAAATATTGACATGAGACGCATAAAATCATGGCTTGGTGGTGGTAAAATTGGCATCAGTGCGACAAATAATTGGTAAAAAAGAATAAAAATTTCTCTTCTCCAGTGTAATTGCTGTGAACTAACAGATGCATCACCGCATACGGAATGGAACAAACAGCAACACACTGCCTTTTCACAATCTAGATACATATGGACAGAGATGACTACAGGATCATACTCTTCCTGTGGACACTAACTTCAAAAGAGGAAACGAGTACAAGGTGATGAAATAAGCACTAACCAAGGCTGTCAGTGGGAAATAGTCAAAGAGGTCTGTGAAGATTTTCCATACATTGGCGTTGCCATACCTGCAAGTAGAAGAAATTTTGTTAAACATGTTGCGATAGTCATAACCCAAATAACTTGACTTTCCTGCTAGTGTAAAGGTGCAATACATGGTGATCAGATGCATTTAAAAACAGATGCTGAAAGGCTATAATTATGTAAATAAAATCACATTACTTATTCTAAGGAGCAACCAATTATATGCCTGAAGGATCAATGCAAATAAACAGTAATTAAAAAATAAATAAACAGCAGCTCTGCAAACTAACAACAGACATGACTAGCAGCAGCAGCAACAACAACAAAGAAGACAAGTGTAAATGATATCCTATGAACTAGAAGGGTCCTGGATATGAATGAGGTGGGCTAATAACAGCTTATACAGAATAAAGATGTTTGCCAGAAGACTCACTTCCGCAGACATTCGTCATAGAATCCATAAACCTGAGTGATCTGCGAGAGGGAAGAAAAACATTGCTCATGTCAGACATAACATGATATAAAATAAGCCAATAAACTAAATGAATATCCCAATCGACAACATGAACAAGTATAAAAAAATAATAATAATGAATAATGCAATGGCTCACATACAAATTTATGCACCCAAGATCTTGAAGTGTGGAAACATAGTGAACTATCCCAGTATAGTACTTAAACTCAGAAGGTGAATGTACAAGCAGAAACAAGGGATGAAAACTTAACACAATTAGTATACCTGCCGACTTTCATGGTTTCCTCTTAGAATAGTAATTCGCTGAGGATACCGTACTTTCAGGGCCACCAACAGCTGGAAAGGGAAGAAAAGAGGACGAGAGTTACAAATAACTCCATATCATAACCCAGAACGGTAAGCAAATGTATAAATATATAAAAAAAACTCTAGATCCAATTAGTATGCTTCATAAATATGAATATTTAAAACATATTTGCCCGTATGCAAAAGGAAGATACATTATTTCAGCCAAAAAGAAAAAAAGAAAGAAAAATACCATCCTAAAATCTAAAATGTTACTGAAATAAAGTAGATAGAAGAAATCCAGTATGTAAACAATATATTTAATAGCATAGCATGACAAGAGAGAGACCTCTCCAGTTTCAAACGACAAAATGCCTCAACGAACAAAGATGGCATAAGATGGTATATACAAAGCTTCTTACCGTAACAGTTTCAACCGAATAATATCCACGGTCCACGTAGTCTCCCATGAACAGATAATTGGTATCTGGGCACTGCCAAAACGAGCAAATGTACAATCATCAGATTACATGGGGTTAGTTATTTACAAGTGAACATAAAACATAAAACGGCAACAGAAAAGAATTTTTAGTAACAATTTAAATTAAAACCCCAGAGAAAAGGGTCTACAGTAGTCCTTATGTATGATCGTGCATCTAAAGTAATTACCTTTCCACCTATACGGAAAAGCTCTGCAAGATCGTGGAACTGTCCATGAATGTCTCCACATATTGTTACAGGGCTTTTCACAGGCTGCATGCAGGAAAATAAAAATGAATAATTCTCCTCGAACCAAACAATAAGGGCATTTCACAGGTTGCATGCAGCTAATTGCACAATCTAACACAAGTCAAATATAATCCCCAAGATAGATGAAAAATTCTAACAGGCAAACCTGCCAAATTCAAAGAGATGAGAGATCAAGAACTGGCCTGAACGTTGCTTTCTTCCATCAAGATCTCCTTGGCTTTCTCGCATAAAGCTCTAACCTAAGGAAAACAAAATAATACCGCAGATCACGATTTCGCCTTTCACCTCTTTTACTCCTAAAGAGATAAGAGAGACCAGCAGTGATAATTACTCTAACAAACAAAACTTGAAAACATTAATAGTAGAGGGACCAACTCGACACAAGCAGCAACAAGGGCAAAAATCAGTTACGAAAAGGCCACCTTCAACAGATTCTGATCCGGTTTCACTCAATATCAGCCCCATAAGGTATTTATGAGTTGCAACTTCTCTCACACGAGTAAGAATTGTTTTTTCTTCAATTTCCTTAACTTTATCCCTAATTGAATGTCCACAGATGCAGTTAACTAGATACAAGAAGAACGAAATCTTATCTACATTGATACAATCACCAGCTTCATGACCTAAAATCTAAAGGAAAACCACCAGGAACCCGGTAATCAGACGAACCTACATTATCAGACACATAAAAATGGGAACTTAGATGCCCAGTTAATACCTTCAAATTCAGAGGACGATGCAGCCAAATTTCACCTAAAACCGTACACTCAAAACGCATTTTTCTTGACCAGTAAAACTACGAAGATAATGAATACCCACGAGAATACACATACGAAGAGATATACCATTTCCGGAAGATATTCATTTGGTTGATCAGAAACCTAAAAATCAAATCCAATAATCACATACTCGAAGATACCTCAAAAGATAAAACCACCCTCCGATTCGAACATAACAGGAGATCCAAAGACCAATACCACCAAAGTTCACACCAAAAAACTAAAATCCGGATCCGATTAAGAACAGAGAAGGAGATAGGGCAAATGGAAACTATCAACTGAGGAGAAATCGGCAGCACCTGTTGCTCCGAGAGGGGCTTGCACTGCATGAGCTGCGAGATCTGCTCATCGAGATCGAGAGTTGAGTCGGTCGGAAGCGAATTCGCGCCCATTCTCTCTACCTCTTGTTCGTCCTCTTCGTCTCTCCCGATCCGGAAAACAGATCAGAAACCGGTACCAGGTTTCCAGATTAGGGATTGCCCTAACCCTAAATTGGATGGATTCTGCGTATTCCTCGCTTTTCCACTCTCTCTCTCTCGCTTTGTGTGCAGTGAAAGAGGATCGAAACGGAGAGCGCGTGACGACACGGGCGAGTGAGTTTGTAGTCTCCGAGCAGTTTCAACTAAATGACCTAAATACCCTTAGAACCTGAGTTATACAGTCCAATCTCGCTGGGGTAAAATAGGCAAAGAATATTATTTTTATTTACGGACAATCATCCTAACTCCACATCGCGAGTCACGACCATGTTGAGCCACGTATGATAATTCTGATGTTCTGTAATTACTTTCTTATTTATTGTCGATGACATACATTTCGTAATCAATTTCACTAAAATAATCATACGGAAATTCCTTTTTCATAATTCAGTCTCCGTATTCTTATGAGGGATGGCCATTTGCTATTTGATTCGAGTTTGGTTTGGTTCGGCAATGATTCTGTTTACTTCTATCAAAATATGTACCAATAAATTATTATATCATATTCAATTCTGAATGGCGAAAAAATAATTAGTGAAAGTAAATAATAAAAACAATTTAAAAAAAAGAATGAGGGGTACACATGATAGGTTACATTTTTCATTAAAATTTTATAAAATTATAATTGAAATGAAATTTTGTACGGGAGTGCAGGATCCGACTCATCCACTTCTGTTCCATTCGATTCGATTCGATTTTGGTTTATATTAAAACAATTTTAGATTTTTTAAGAAATATTCGGTTTTTCAAGTTGTTTAAAATCCGATTTGATTCGATATTTCGAAAAAAATAAGTTTTATAAAAAAAAGTTATCGTTTACAAATTTCGGACAGTTGGATACGATAACGAAATCGTATTTTTTGGTTTGGTATGATTCGATTTTAATGAAACAAATGTCCACCCCTAATTCGAGGTAACATTTTATAGTTTGGGATGTGGCCGATGCTAAATAACGAACGTACCACAATTCCTTGTAACTCAGCCACTACATATTTTGTTCTTGTTAAACAGCCACTACATATTTTACTTTTAACTGTATACAGATATTTAAAATTATAAAAAATCTAGATAAATAAATATTTTTATATATGTGTACCATCTACTAAATTTTAACAATTTTTAAAATATTAAATTCATAATAATAACGATTTTAAAATATTCTATTTTTCGTATTCCGTGTCTCATTAGTTACCACTCTTTTGATGGAAGACTATCGGAATCTCATTATGGTCCATTTTTTTTGTTTCCAATAAAGCTCCTTTTATTTCTCTCAATGATTCTTGATCGCAAATGTCTAAATAAGATGCCATATCTGTTTTTCAATTATTATTTTTGACTGACCATTTTTTTTATATATAATAAATTGATAAAATTTTATTTGTATGTGTGCATTGGATAACAAAATCTCCTCGAGTTATTACTATCGTATATTATATAAAGTATATATTAAATGTAACCGGAATTTATTGAGGGAGTTATAAATGATAGTATAATGCAAGCTTTTTTTAAGCATAAGTTCTGTATATTTATTTGGCATAAATGTCGTATAACAAGTCAGGTGCCCAACGACACGCCGACATACAATCCTGTACGACATAGCCAAACCGACACGCAGTTAGGCAGTATAAAATTTTAAAACGGCAAGAAATCTGATTCGAGAACAAAGAAAAGGGGAACAAGGTCAAATAAATATCTCAAGTCATCTCTTCCTATGATTCTATCGTTCTGCGTAAAAGCACAGACCTATTTTCACGCGTTGTGTCCGATCCAGAAGGGAAGAAAAAATTTAGGGTTTGCATTTGGTTGATTTCTTCGATTCGATTCTCTCTACCGAATTTTGAGGTTTCTCTCTCTCTCCCCCTCTATCTGGATTTGCGCAGATGTATTTCTCGATTCCGAGTTAAAGCTAGGGTTGAGTGCTATTTACATTTCGTTGTTTTCTTTTGAGGTGAAAAGTTTGTAAATCTAATGGCATTTACTCGTTTTTTGAGGTTGATTCTGTTCGTATCCGATTGTCGAGTTTTCTTCCGATTCGTCTGAGTTAGTCGATGAATTTGATAAGGTTATATGGGTTTCCTGCTTTTCGGGTTTGATGGGTCTCCGTCATTTGATACACCTAGCTGCAATCAATTTCCGGAATTGTACTTATTCTGACTCGAACCTGTTTGGTATTACCAGGGTTTTCAATCTTCATCTTTGGGGGGAAAAAAAGAGATATAAAGTAAAGGGAACATCTTCGAGGTTTTGATTATTGCTTTTTTAGTGGCAAGTTACAAGCTATTTTGGTTTTAGGACGTGATACATTGCAATTATGAGTGCATCATGGGCAGATGTTGCTGAATCAGAGAAGGTGGTCTCTGGGTCCTCTAGTCGCAATTCTCAGCCATCACGACCTGCTTATGTTCCTCCACATCTACGGAACAGGCAGTCAACTGAACAGGTTGCTCCTCCTGCGCCAGCAAATGATCGCATAGGGTATGGTGGTCCGCCCGGTGGGTCTCGATGGGCTGGAGGTGGTGCTGCCGGTGGTGGTTACCGGACAGATGCAGGGCGTCCTGGCTATGGATACGGGGGACGAGGAGGAGGTGGTTGGAACAATAGAAGTGGAGGGTGGGACCGTAGGGAACGGGAAGTTAATCCGTTTGGTGATGATGCTGAGATAGAACAACCGTTCACTGAGCAGGAGAATACAGGCATTAACTTTGATGCCTACGAGGATATTCCAGTTGAGACAAGTGGGGATAATGTGCCTCCTCCTGTCAATACGTTCGCTGAGATAGATCTTGGGGAGGCTCTGAACCTAAATATTCGGAGGTGCAAATATGTGAAGCCAACGCCTGTGCAGCGTCATGCAATCCCAATATTGCTCACAGGGAGGGATTTGATGGCTTGTGCACAGACTGGATCTGGGAAGACCGCTGCCTTTTGCTTTCCCACAATTAGTGGAATTATGAAAGAGCCATATGTACAGCGACCGCGTGGTTCACGTACAGTCTACCCTCTTGCAGTCATCCTCTCACCAACAAGAGAATTGGCATGCCAGGTCTTGGTTTTGGTCCAATATTAAGCTTCTTTTTATGGGATTGAATGCAGCTTCTCTTAATATATACATAGGCATATATCATTCTATATTTTTTTCCTGCAGATTCATGATGAAGCCAGAAAGTTCTCCTATCAAACCGGTGTGAAAGTTGTTGTTGCCTATGGAGGAACACCAATTAACCAGCAGGTCTCTAGTGTACAAAATTATATTCTTCTTGTTTTCCAGACTGTGCTTTAGCAAATTGTCACATGCCTGTAGTTCTGTTATCTTTAATGTGTAGTGATTTGGGTTTTGCTAGCTATTTAAAAACATGATTCGGCTTTCGTATAATTACTCTTGAAGGTTTGGTGATTTATTTGAACGGATGAAATTTTTCACAAGAACACAACCTATGCATCAATATGAAACTTTGGTAAAAAAAAAAATCGGTATTCTTGCCTGATTGCATGTGTTGTTTAATCTGCCCTCCTGCATAAATTTTCTGATTTCTTGTTTTGTTGCTTGTACAGCTCCGAGAGCTCGAGAGGGGAGTTGATATTCTTGTGGCTACTCCTGGACGGTTAAATGATTTGCTTGAGAGAGCTAGAGTCTCGTTACAGATGATTAGATTTTTAGCTCTCGATGAGGCAGATAGGATGCTGGACATGGGTTTTGAACCACAAATAAGAAAGATTGTTGAGCAGATGGACATGCCTCCACGTGGAGTTCGGCAGACAATGTTGTTCAGTGCTACTTTTCCAAGAGAGATTCAGGTATGTTTTGCTTGTCTGTGGCACTCCTCATTTTTGCATTCGTCTTTTTGCTGGCTGAAGATCAATTTTGGATATGCAAATAATTGATCATCTGCTGGATACCCGAGCGAATCCTTTCTTGCTCTTACATATCCCTCTTTAAATCTGTTTTATCATGTCTTGTATTGTTCTTGTAAAGTCAGTTTTCTTGACCACTCATTCTCAAATCATATTTTCCTTGGTTAAAGTTTGTTAAATGTGCCTCTATCTCTTAGTCCTTCGTTCAGCAACCTTTCCTAACTGTAGTGGTTCATTGGGCAAGTTGAAGGAGAAAGAAAAAGCGGTTTGCATTAATTAGTCCTGTATATGGTAATTGTTAGTAAATAATGTAGGAAATAACACTTTTTGGTGCTTCTCTAGAAAAAAACATATCTGTTTGTGATTGATGCTTCAGCTGTATAGCTGCTTACATGACTGCTGTAACTGCTAATGCTGCAGTTATAGTTACCACTAGATGCGATAGAAAATTGAGACCTGTGAAAAGCTTGCCTTTTTTCATGAAATGGTGGCATCATAAGCGACACAATATAAACATCAATAGGATTACAATTTTATTTACTAATTTCCCCTCCCAAGGCTGTTGTGAACCTTCAATGGTTTAGTTTTCCAATTTGTTGTATGAGTGTCTTGTTTGTTCTTTGACATAGTTGCGTAAAATTCAGAAGTATAACGTTTGATTCTAGTAGTATCAGATCATTTCATTATTTTTCTTTTCAAAATATTTGTATTGTATTTTGTTTGTGTGCAGAGACTTGCGTCTGACTTCCTATCAAACTATATATTTTTGGCCGTGGGAAGGGTTGGTTCAAGTACTGATTTAATTGCCCAAAGAGTAGAGTTTGTTCATGAGTCTGACAAGAGAAGCCACCTTATGGACCTGCTTCATGCCCAGAGAGAGAATGGCATCCAAGACAAGGTAATGTGATACACACACCGATTCTCGAAATCTAGTGTTTTGTTGCCTCTCTTTTGTTTATAAGGTGTTGGCCATTTGTCTGTTTGCATGTCAATCCTTCTCTACTAATTTATTTGTATCATTTTTTGTCATGTAGCAACTTGTATTTTAGACCTTCTATTGATTGCTTCCTTCTGTTTAAAAAATTTACAGCAAGCTCTGACATTGGTTTTCGTGGAGACAAAGAAGGGAGCCGACTCATTGGAACACTGGCTGTGCATGAATGGGTTTCCAGCAACCTCCATTCACGGCGATAGATCACAACAGGTTGACTTGTCAATTGAAGTTGATATTCTCTGTGGAATATTGTCAAAGAATACTCTCCCGAGACGTGAAAACTAAAAATATGAAATGCTGCTTAGAATAGGGAGTGTTAAGTTTCTTTTCGCGTGACTAAAATGACATACTGTACAAAGTCAATCTTGTCTCGTTATTCATTTTCCAGGAAAGAGAAGTGGCGCTGAGGTCATTCAAGAGCGGGAGGACTCCCATTCTGGTTGCAACCGACGTCGCAGCACGTGGCCTCGACATTCCTCACGTGGCTCACGTTGTGAACTTTGACCTACCGAATGACATAGACGACTACGTCCACCGCATCGGAAGAACGGGGCGAGCAGGCAAGTCGGGACTGGCAACCGCCTTCTTCAACGAGAACAACTTGTCGATGGCCAGGCCGCTAGCTGATCTGATGCAAGAAGCGAACCAGGAGGTGCCCGCATGGCTCACTCGGTACGCGTCTCGGGCTTCGTACGGAGGTGGTAAGAACCGGCGGTCAGGTGGGCGGTTCGGTGGCCGTGACTTCAGAAGGGAAGGCTCTTTCGGTAGAGGCGGTGGTGGTGGCGGTGGAGATTACTATGGAGGAGGTGGATATGGGGGGCCGGGCCAGGGTGGCGGCGGCTATGGCTCGGGAGGAGCGAGCAGCGCCTGGGACTAAGGCTCTCTCTCAAAAAATTTTCTATGGTTTTAACCCTAAACTATCTACTTTCTTTTCGTCAATATAATTTTCCAAGAGAGCATGTCGTGTATTGCCCTTCTTCAGATTTCAGAGTTGGATACATATCTAATGTCAGCTAGGTGAATATCTCTCTTTCTTTTGGGTTTGGTTTTTTTTTTTTTTTTTTTTTTTTTCAAGTAGTGGTGTTTCCGATTTTGGTCCAAATTTTTTGCCCTGTCCTTGTTGGTTTCTTCTAACCATGTCGTCATTTGCCAGTTTGAAACCATGTTTCGTTCGCTTCCCTTTCAATGAAACAGACTGTCCGAATAGATTACCGTAGCGTTTTTTTTTTTACAGTGATTGTTGGTGTTTTCAGATGAAGAAATGATTAAAATTCGATGCAGACGAAGAATTGCGATCAAGTTCTTCATGTTTGGGCTGTGATTAGGTTACTTCTGTTCCACTTCAAACCGCAAGGAGGGAGGGTTCCTATGATCATCCATGGCCCTCCTGGTCTGCCCTTCGTCAATTTTCTTTCTTCCGTGGCGCTGCAGCCTGCAGCATTGGCAGGAAGATCCGAACAGAGGAGCCTTCGACTTGTCTGGTGACGAGACAAGGGAGAGATCCGACAAAGCATATATCATCGGATGGATCCCCCTTTTTCTATGCCCTGAGAGCGAGGACTGATCTAACACCGGCCCACATCGTCACAGTTGACACATTGAATCATTCAGGATCTGTTACAGATGCTTTCAACTTGGTAACCATTTTTCACGAACTCTGCAAGAAAGTAACTCTTGGAATCCAAGAACTGAACTGAAACATGAGAAAGCAATCCAAAATGGGGATGTTTGTTATCCAAGAAGGGCAAAAACAGCCTCCAGCCGCCGAGATTTTCTTGAGGAATTCAAGGTTTTGCAATATTACAATAATAAGCCTGTCTGCAAAAAAAAAAATCTACCCGGCGTACAGGAAGAACTATATAAGACCAGAGGGAAAAAAAACAAGCAATTGAACAAGGCAAGGCGTGACCATACTTGTTACAATGAGGTGAAAGAAATAAGGAAAAGGGAGTTGCCATGATACAGTATAGATCACAAGCAAATCCATCCCAACGGGGAAAATCAAACTGCCCAAGTGATCTTACCTCTCAGTATATAAGATTCTTTCCCCCGTCTTCTAATAAAAACCGGCCTCTAGGCCAAGTATATATAACTTATCTGCAACTTGTTGGGTCAGCGTTTGGTCCGAGGCATGCAGCGGAATTCAGCCAAGAGGGCTATATGATCAGAAGACCATTCTGGAGAAGGAAGAGCTGTGTCCTTCCTCAAGCTCTCCTCATCCAGCAGTTCCAACAGTGATTCCACCGTTAGCGTGTCCGCTGAAAACAATATGGAAAACGTTTTCACACATCAAAAAAGGGCCGAAATACGGAAGAGACAAGAAGAACTCTGGGCCGAAATCTTAAAGGTTTATTGTGAAGTTAACCTGTGTAAAGTATGTAATCAAGTGTGCCGGTAAAGTCCCTGGTACAGTTGGTAAACAATGGTTCGTTTGTTGTAGGATCCATTCTTCTCCTTTGTTGCTCTGCAACAAGACTGCCTCCCATCCTTGCAAACGACGAGTAAGCACTCACCTGCATTGAGTCCAAGGTCACTTTTTCTCCAATCCATTGCTCCCTCTTATCTTTTCCCATAATATTGAAGTAAAAAAAAACATATTTTGATATATTATGTTGGAAGAGATATTACCAATGGCAGCTGATGAGTCAGCTTGGTGTGAGGACGCAGAATTCCAAGAGGATCAACCATCAAATCTGGGTGCAATGGCTCAATCTTTCCCATAGCAAGAAGAGAATGTGGTGCACTGGAATATATTTGAATTTCCAAGTTTTAACCAAATAAATCATCGTAACCATAATATGATCGAGATTTTTCATGCCAGCTAGACTAAAAGGAAAATCATCCACACCTCCCGGGAACAGTATTGAAGTCTCCACAAACAAGCATAGGAATATCTGCGCTGGCAGCTATTTTCTCCAGTCCTTTCAACAATGTGTGAACCTATTTTGAACAATAGTCAAATACGTATCAGTAACAATCTTAAGTATTTGAAACACAAAAAAAAAACATAATATTGAGGGAAAGATATTACAAGACCTGCCAACATTTCACATCCTTCAGTTCTTGAGGGACATTTACATGTGTGTTAGCCTGCACCCAGGAGATAAAATAAAAGATTGAAAGATCAATCGTTACGATATTTTTAAAACAGAGGAGGAAGTGTGAAAACATATGTTTAGTCCTGAGCACCATCTCCTACATCAAATGAACAGAGACCAGAAGAAAGGACACTAACCACACAAAGAAGCTGGCGCTTTCCTGGATTATCAGCAGCCCTGTTGCCAAATTTTGCTTCCAGAACAACGATCAGTGCAACATTGTCCTAGAAAGCAAGAGAATCTGAGATCAGTTTTATAAAAGAAAAGTATAGCGTGAGAATGAGCATGGATACTGAAATTGCATAATAGACCAAGTTCAAGTACCTTAACCAATCGATTTAAAGCAGTTTTCTTCTGGGCAATAGGAATGACAGCCTCAGTCAAAGACTGAGCAGCCTTATTAAACTCAACCTGGACCAGCCGACCTGGATTAAACAAGGGGGCTAAATATATAGGCCTAACGAAAGTTGAAACTAACGCATACCTCATATTTTTTCACATGTGAAAATCTGTCTCTTCTGAAAAATGTAGCACATCCGTCAATTGTGTTCGTATTACCACTGAAAACCTGAGATTGTTGGGCAAATCGATAGGTCCGTCAGCACATCATCTCACAACATAAGTAACAGGGAAAAGAGTTTTGGGGTCAAGAATTTGCATCACGATAGACCTCATTTGTTTTCCTCTTAAATAGAGCCTGGTACCCATGTTTGTCCAGCTCAGGACCGAAAAACTCCTCAAAATGATCACTCTGCACCTGCAAGACAAGGGGAAAAATAGACCGTAATGAAGACAGAAATTTTACATAAACTACCCAATCATGTGCATTGATTAAATGATATACTGTCTTATCCTTCAGACCAGCTCATAAAGGAACCGTAAGTTAGTGCATCCTAGGTAGGCATACGGTTAACATACCTCCTGTAGACAAACTATATCTGCACGGTACCCTACAATTTCCCGTAACAAGTTCTGTCTACGGTACTGCCAAGAAAGAGCCCATGGAGGGCAGTAACTGTATATGTCGCTACTAGCATAAGTGTCCGCCAATATATTATACGAAAGAACAGTGAATGATCCCGTAGACGAAAGGTGGCCATCCGAATCCAGGTGCCCCATTGCATCAACTCCACTAACAGGAATCAGCCTCCGAGGACTTGGTGAAGGAGCTGGAATAACACGCGAAGTCAATATGGTACATGTGTGTCCCACTGTCTGTTTGGTCTCTGCATTGACCACAACACACTCGAACTTCAAAACATGGCCGACATCATCCGCCATTGGCGCGTATGTTTTAGAGCGTCCAACCTCAACAAGTGCTTCCCCTCCACCAGTCCTTTGGCTGATTGTAGCAGGGTAAACTGATGTCGACCCATTTGTCAGATTAGCATTTGAGGCAGGCCCAGATAAACTACCGGTGCTGAGAATTCCAGAACCCGAGCTATTATAACGGAACAACTCTTCCTCGTCATTTCCATTTTCTCCAGCAGCACTGGCTGCACGCTCGTGCAAGAGACGGTGATGCTGCCATGCGTCTGAAAAGCACTTAGTGGAACAGTGGTAGCTTTTAGCAACAGGAACCTTCGACTTTATACAACCTAGACACTGCAGTGTGGCTTGCTCGGTTGGATGCACACTGCACATGGCAACTTTCCTGTCGCTCTGCACACGAAACCTGCACAAGGAAATCCAAAAGGTTGAATCTTAAGCAAGAAACGGAAATGCCCATTTGAAGATTATGAAGCCACCAATCGGACATATTCATATGGCAACGAATAACTCTGACTGAAATTAGTAACACGAACAAAAAGGACCTGAATTCAGGTCGTAATATCTACACAAGCCACCAATTGGAAAACGAAAAAAAACATAAGTCTCAAACTTCAGCTAAAACCCACTTGCCCGAACAAGTCGAAAACAGAAAATCGATTCGGACAAGGAGCGGAATCAGAGATTAGCATAGTGGAGCAGAAAGAAAGAGCGAACAAGCTAGAGAGAAAGAGAGAGAGAGAGAGTCAATTGTAGAACTTACCATCTATACCTCAAGAAGTGACCTTCAAGTGGCGCTGATTCCGGGACATCGTCGGTGGTGGCGGTCTTATCCGGCCGCCGGAGAAGCACGTAGGGCGTTAATTCACAGCCGACGATGGGAATCTCCGACGGTAGATGCACTCGTATCACGCTCAGCATTGCTTTCCCGTCACTCTCTGTAATCCGCACAATACCGCAATACGACCGAAGCCCACAATCCTAAAGCTTTAACTGTATATTCACACCGAAGAACATATGAAACGGGGCGGATACCTGGCGAATCCGCCATTTATTTGACCCTAAAACTCGCCAGCCTCGATGAACCCTAATGTTCCCTAGACCCTAGATTTTGCCCAAAATTTCCCGACCGAAAATTCCACGACTCTCGGTGAACGAACTCAAAAAAAAAAGATGAAAACCCAGAAATCGAATCGGGGGATGGATGCAGATTCCGAAAAAAAAGAAAAGACAGATTGATCGTTTCGGCGAGAAGGGGAAAATCTAGAATTTCCAGAGACGAAGGGAGGGACCAACAAGGCCTTTTTTTTCAACGGAAGAAAATGCAAGTTTGATATTTTAATAAAAACGAAGACGTATAAATATAAAAACACATGTATACGTATACGTGTACGTATGCACAAGCATAGCATTAGCACATCACTAATCACCAGCTTAACTCCATGATTATCTTTTGCTTTTGCCATTTGGTTTATACTTTCAATCCATAATCAACCAATAAGAACATTCTCATAACAAAGCTTTACTGTAATCTTCTGAATCTTGTACACTATCTGATGTTCCATCCTCTTCTCTTACATCATCGTATTCGTCAAGAGAAGAAAAAAAAAAGGAAGCAATTGTTGTGATGAACAAAAAAAACGCCATCTCCTAAGATCAAGAAATGAGTCAAGAAGAATGTCTACAGACAGCTCATCTGCCGCCATTGCCAAAGCTCTAGTCCCTATCTCTTATAACAACTCTGTACTAGCGTTTAGCCTTAGGCGTTTGGCGTTTGGCGCGGGCGACCGGGTCTTAGGCGAGAGGCGGAACTCGGCCATGAGTGCTAAATGGCTAGAAGGCCATTGAGAGGAAGGAAGAGCAGCGCCCAGATCCAACAGCTCCAATAAGGCCTCCACCCTTAACGTATCCGCTGAAAAAACCCGAACCGAGATTTTTTTTTTCCGGTTATCATATCGGGAGACAGAGAGCTCGCCGGAAAATAATGGCTTGCAAAAGAGAAAGCTATAAAACCTGTGTAGAATATGTAATCGTAGGTCCCTAAGAACGCCCTCGAACAGTGAGTAAACTGAGGCTCGTTCGTCTGGCAATCCATTCTCCTGCTGTGCATCACGCTTCCACGACCCGTTCCCCTAGTCATAAACGATGCGTACGCGCTCACCTGTGCGCGTAAATGCATTGCTCACACTGTCAATGTTCCGGGAAAGGAGAGGACAAGTTTAGGGTTCTAAACCCGAAACCCTAAAGAAGTCACATTGGATTATTCTTGTAAAGATCTACTACCCCCGTCAAAAGAGAAATATTATTACCAGTGGCAGTTGATGGGTCAGCCTGTCTTTCGGATGCAAGATACCGAGGGGATCTACCTCGAAATCCAGGTGCAACGGGTGGATCATCCCCGTCGAAAGAAGATAATGAGCAGCGCTACCAAAAGAGGTTAAAAAAACACGGGTCGATAGTCGTGAGTTTATTAGAAGATTGCGTAACATATTCGGGTCGAAGTAATCATCGGAAGTAAACCAGACCTCCCGGGGAACGAATTCAAATCTCCACACACGATGGTAGGGATATCGGAATGAGAAGCTATTTTCTCCAACCCCTTTAGTAATGTGAAAACCTAAATCCGACCGAGAATCAAAATACGCAAGTGAATAATTCGGTTCGACTTCACGAAAATGTTAAGAGTCAGGGCCGGGAAAAACACAAAACCTGCCAGAGCTTCACGTCCTTCAGTTCTTGATCAATATTTACTACGTGCGCGTTTGCCTGAACATGAAACAAACGAGAAAGAAAGCGTTTAAAACCCCATGTTCCACTCGAAATGGACAAAAGGTGAGAAAACAACATCGTACTAGCGTTTCTCTCGTCGTTAGTACCGAGAACGGTCCTAAGAGAACTCACCACACATATATACTGTCGCTTGCCCGAGGCATCGGTGCATTGATTACCGAATTTCGCTTCCAAAACAACTATTAAAGCGACGTTATCCTGGAAAACAAGAACACCCAGAATGCGTTATCCTGAAAAAATTACACGAACCAACAGATGTCGTCGAGGTTACCTTAACCAGTCGGTCCAAAGCAGTTGTTTTCTGGTCACTCGGGATTACGGCCTCAGCCAAATACCAAGCAGCTCTATTGAATTCGACCTGGATGAAAAGATCAAGGCTTTTAGCCGAGAATCTAAACAGACAGAGAGCTGGGAAGAGTTGGAACTGATACAAACATCGTATTTTCTGACACACGAAAACCTATCCGCCCGGAAAAACGTCGCACACCCGTCAATCTTCCTATGTACATTACCACTGAAAACCTAAGATTATCACATGAATTAATCAAGTCATGGCCATTACATAATCACAGGAGGGAAGGGTGGAGAGAATCAAATCAAAAAGCCAACCTCATCAGTTCTCCTCTTGTACAGAGCTTCATACCCATGTTTATAGAGTTCAGGTCGGAAAAAATCGTCGAAATGATCACTTTGTACCTGCCAGAGAACGAAATGACAACTAAAGAAAAACAGTTTGAAGGGTGAATCTCCCTTCATACCAAATCTTTTGTTTGAGTTTCCGAGACAAATATCCTTCAGATTCATCCATGGATGAGAGAGAAGCCCGATGAAAGAGCATACCATACCTCTTGCAGACAAACTACATCCGCACGGTACCCGACAATCTCCCGTAACAACTCCTGACTACGGTAAGGCCAAGAAAGAGCCCATGGAGGGCAGTAATTGTATAAGCGGCCATCGGCAGAAGACTCAGACAAGATATTATACGAAAGAAGAGTGAACGATCCTGCAGATGTAAGGCCATCGTCTTGATCGATTCCTTCAACGGGGATCATCCTACGGGGAATTGATGGAGGAGGTGCAATAACATGATTAGTCCATATATCATCTGGGTATCCAATAGCCTTTTTCGTCTCTGCATTGATCACAGCACACTCGAACCTCAAAACGTGGCCTATATCCCGATCCATAGGTGTGTATGTTCTAGAGCACCCCACCTCAACCAATCTCTCCCCTCCAATGTAGTTTGGTGTGGCTGAGACATTGGAAAGATTAGGATTTGACACAGACCCGAAGAAACTGCCAAATGTTGAGCTAAGATAGCGACGTAACTCATCGTCAACGTTCTTCTTTTCGGCGGCAGCTTTCGTCGCTTGTTCATGCACAACCCGATGATAATCATACCACGCATTCGAGAAACATTCCGGTGAACAATGGTAGCTCATTGCAGTAAGAGTGTTATACTTTGAACAGGATTGACACTGCGATGTAGCTCGTTCTGATGGATGCACACTACAGTATATAACTTCCCCATAACTATGAACACGATACCTACAAGAAACGCCAGAGAGCAACACACATCAACCACTTTCCCGGAGGAGGAAAAAGGAACAAGATTCAATCTTTAGCCAAAACCCAGAGAGACAAAAGGACCCAACACGCGAAAGCAGATCAAACTTAACGCAAATTCGACGGTGATCAGTAAAAAATGAAAGGATCGGAGAAAGCCATTAGCCCATATACAGTACTTACCATCTGTACCTCAAGAAGTGACCTTCAAGAGGTGCCGACTCAGGGACATCATCGGCGGTGATGGTCCTGTCCGGTCGACGGACAAGCAGTTTGGGAGTTAACTCGCGGCCGGCAATGGGAGTTTTCAACGGTAGTTCCAATCGAAACACGCTAAGCATGGCTTTTTTCCCTCAGACCCTGTAATCTTTACGCTACTGTAACACTAAAGAGGTAGAAATCCCAACGCTTTTGGCCGTATTTTGTCGGAGGAAAGCAAAAGAAATTGATCGGACACCATTTACGTGACGCGAAAAACCCACCAGAAAGCCCTAGAAGCGAACACGAAACTAATCGACCAAAACCAGGCTAGGATTTCGAACAAGAACGGGAATAGATGAAGAACCCAGAAATCTTTTGACCGGTGAAGAAGGCTTTGATCGATTGCTCTTCAAGAAAGAAAGATAGATGAAACTGCGGAGAGAGGATTTGAACTTTCTTCTTTCTCAAGTCTTGGTGATGAAGTTCACTAACGAATGCAAATTTATAGGCTTTGGCAATCAAATGGCAATATATATATATATATATATATATATTTCATTAGTCAGAAGAATTTTGCCTCCCCTGTTGGAGATTGGTTCGATTACTACATGGCCCTGACGCTGATTTATTGATAGCAAAAATCAAGATTTTATTTTTGGGAATGTTACAGATATCATCAAACAACAATACACAAAAAAGGGATGAAATTCAGAAACTATTGAATATCGGAAGGAATCTGCAATTGAAGAACACATACGACAACACACAACGAATTTACAGCAGATTCATGAGGAAGATTGAAACGCCAAAGAAGAAATGGAATCTCTCTAGATGAATCTCACCGAATGTTACAGGGATCGCTTCTGGATCCATCTCTGAAGTTCCAGCCTCCATCTCTCTCTCAGAATCTTCGTCAGCTCGCCTACTCCAAAATTTGGGAACTTGATTCCGAATCCGAATGTTATAGATTCGGAATCTGATCTCGAAATCATCCTATATTACAAAATATCAGAAATTTCCGGGTAGGGCGAGGGTCAAGCTCGCGAGGTGGAGAGAGATCGACTCATGAATGAAGCTCGGTTTATACCCTTGCTATATATATATATAATTTTCTTTTTTTTCTGAATCGAATATTTATTTATTTGGCTTACTTTTATTTATTTATTTTCCTTTTTATTAAGAGTTTTTTTTTCGAATACAGGAACCGGTGGGCATTTCGCTTCTGAACAGAGCTCTTTCGAACTGAAAATTTCAATTTGTTTGAACCGTATCATTCAAAATTTTCTAAGATATATTTTTTTTTATAAAAACCAGTTTTCTACAATTGCAATCGAATTTTATAAAATTTTCAAAAAATCAAATTTATTTTTAAAAAAATTTAAATTTTGTTAACAAAAATCGAAACTAAACCGTACCAAAACTATAAATAAAACCAACCAAATAATATACGATACTAAATTGGTACAAAGTTTAGAATATCGAATAAATCATTCCCAAATAGAATCGCTAAAATTTCGAACCCAATTTCAAAATGCTGATTCTACAAGAACCACATGTATTTTATGACGAATAGAAACTAGACAAATATAAACGGGATTTGGAACATCTAAAAACTCAAATCTGGATTCAGTTTTTATTTTTTAAAATCTATATCCATTCTCTTTTTTCGATATTTGTAAAAACTATATATATATGTTTAATTTTTTTTAAATTAGTTTATATTGGTTTCCAATTCAAATGAATTCGATTTTAAAAATGATATGTTTTAGATGGGATTCGATGTTGATACAATCATAAACTATTAGGCGAATCGGATAGAAATATATATCAATCACCATCCTGCATTTTCAAATTTCAATCAAACGCTACAAAGTTCCAAAATTTACGTTTATAAATATTTCGAAACGTCACCTATATCTATATTATAATAGAATATATTAATATTTAATCCAATTTTTTTCTTCTCTTGTTCGTGTTTCGTGTAGTATGCCTTGTATTTATTTGTATTAGCAGTCCGGCATGATGTGAGCTTTTGTGTTTTGAATGTCTCTTCTTGTGTTTTTATGGTAAGGAGTTGTCCTTTGGATTTGTAGTATGTAGTAGCCTCTAGGGTAGGATAGACACTCCCTTTCGGGTATGTGATTTCGATCCGATCTAAACCGAAATCGAACCGAACCGAATAACATTCGTTCTAATTTGGTATATTTTTTCTATAGAACCGAATACACCGTATTCGAACTGAACCGTATAAGTATCGAATCAAAATCTTAATTATCCATCCATATATGTCTAAATTTATAGTTTGATATTTATTTGATATTCATATAACGATACCGTATCAAACCGAACCGATACTAAAACTGAACCGATTAATATTTGATTCTAGTTTTGTACAATTTTTATAAAATCAAAAATAATATTCTGAACCTAATCACTTAAATATTGGAACGAAAACCGAAATGCTCATCCCGACCTCTATGTGTAGTGTTTTCATAATTCTAAGAAATTTTAGGATATCTGAAATTTAATAAAAGATTGGAAAAATCATTATTCGAATTTTGAATTCGAAGAGTGGTACTGTTCCTGTTTATACATATCCAAATGTTGAACGTAAAAAATTGCAATTATCTAATAATTTTGAATATTGAAGGATAGTTTAAATTAAAAAACAAGATACCTGAATTGAAAACTAATGCATATGTAATACAGATTTATATTACCATAATCCCAATTACTCAAATACCCAAATTTTAGGATATATTGAGAATAAATAAGGACCATGTACTCGAAATTTAGGGTAATTTTGTACATCCTAGTGTCCAAGGTGGCTTATTATAAAAAAAAAATATTCATGCTGTTATTTTATTTTATTTATTCCAATTTGATCTTTTAGTTATTTTTAATGTGAAAACTTATATAAATATAGGAATTTGTGAAATCCATAAATTTTATAAAGATTTTCAAAAAAAACACGGAATTTACAAAAATTCTAAAAAAATCTATACATCGAGCAAAAAACCATGTTAATTATTATGTAGTTTTTTGATAATTTTGTCAAATTCAAAGTGGGAATCGGAAAAAGTCTGTATTTTTTTTTTAATTTTAAAAATTCATATATTAATTGGCACGTAATAATAAATTAGCGTATTTTTATAAAAAAAAAATCAATTTTAAAAAATGTATAAATTTAATCGGCAATGTCAACCCTTCGATTTGGGCGCAACTAACCAAAAAAAAAAAAAAGATGTCTCCCAATCATAAAAGACTTACGTGCATAAGTTCACTTGCATATCTCACATTATTGTGTATAAATATACGGTCCATCATTTATGTAAACTACACAAATTTGTTCATATATAACGACGACGACCTTCATCGCCGCCATGGCCGGACTCCACCTTCGTCTTCTTCCTCTCTTCCTCGCTCTCCTTTCCGCCATAGCCATAAAAGGATCGAAAGCTTACTCCAGGACATTACCTCCCCCGAAGCTCCAAAGGCTAACCCACCTCCACTTCTACTTCCACGACACCGTCTCCGGCGAGAAAACCACCGCCGTCAGAGTGGCCGAGGCCGCCGGCACGAACTCCTCCGCCACCTTATTCGGGATGGTGGTGATCGCCGACAACCCTTTGACAGAGGGGCCCACCATGGGCTCCAAGATGTTGGGAAGAGCACAAGGGATGTACGCGTCCGCGGACATGAACGACTTCGGTCTGCTCATGGCGTTTAACCTGGTGTTCACCGAAGAGAAATTCAACGGCAGTACGGTCAGCTTGTTCGGTCGGAACCCTATCTTGTCGGCGGTGAGAGAGATGCCGATCGTCGGCGGTACGGGCGTTTTCCGGTTCGCGAAGGGCTACGCTCAGGCCAAGACTTACACTTTCGACCGCGTCAGTGGAAATGCCGTGGTGGAGTATAACGTCTATGTTTGGCACTGAAATTAAATTTAAATTAAAATTAAGATTTGTAATCATGTTTTTTGTATGTTGTGTTCCGTGGCATGAAAATAAATTGCTTTTGGTTTCTGTTTTATGGTTATGTGGAAGAGCAGACAGAGAGCATAAAACATAAAGAGAATCTTTGGCCCTTTTTGTGACCTGTTTATGTCCAATACGTAAGTGGTTCTGACATTGATTGAGATATAAATATTTATTTCTGTTACGAATTATTGATATTTACAATCACATTCTGTTGATTATTGGTATAGATCTTTTTATATCATGATAATGATTTTACATCGTGTGTATATATATATATACACACACAAAAATACATTTGATCGAAACTTTCATATATGATAACATGTTGTATATAATATACAGAGGTAGAAATTAAGGTGAATATAAAGAAAAGACTTTTTAACATTTGCATGATATATATCTTGCTTTATTCAAAAACTCAATAATATTCTTATTCGATTATATATATATATATATATATATATGTGTTTTTGGATTTAATGGGATATATATATATATACACACACACCATATTATAATAGTGATTTATTATTTATAATAGTGAATTATTTATTTTATTTTTTTATTGCCTCTATTATACACGCACGTCATTTTCAGCCGGAACATCCGACTGTATAATGGGGTCGAAGCCCATTATAGACTCGGCCCATTATGAAGCCCATCCAACAAGAAATATCAGATATCATATAATATCCGCCCAAAAATTATGAACACACACACACATGACTATTATATCACGGGGAGTTTTTATAAATTTTTTTAAAAGGAAAAAAAAAGATATATATATATATATATATATTTATATATATATGGTGTGGTCCATAAAAAAACACAACCCATTCAGTTTCAGACAGTAATTATCAATCCACCAGAAAGCTTTGTCCTTAGGAGTTAAGACTTCCCAAGAAGAGCTATATATACATATATACATATATACAAATCCTGTGCATGCGGTTAGTGTATATTTGCGGCATATATATGTGTGTCTCGCTATATATATATATATAAACTTTTATTGGGGTACATTAAGAGCCCATTCATCTTCTTCTTCTTTTTTTTTTTTTTTTTGTTTGTGACCACGGGGTCTTTTACAGGAAAGAAAGCACCACAATTATCATCATCATCATCATCATCATCCCACCTTCATCCATTCTTATTGTCATATGTATTCCATATTTTTTTTTACTGAGGATCCTAAAATCAACATCCCTTGTAATTCCCCAAACCCTATAAATTCAAACCAGTATAGTTAATTGTGGAGTTGTGAGGTTCCAACTTTTAGATTCTCTTTTTATACATATATATATGTTATTGGGAATAAGGAAGAGTATACATATATACATATATATATATATGTATATACGGAGTGTAAACACGAAAAAAGATGATGAGTGGACGTGGGCTCTTCTCATGTTCTTTATACTCCACTTGCATTTGTTATTCAGCTTTTAGGCACATCCACATTCTTATTTTTCTGTTCTCATCTTCTAAAATAAGAAACATATATATATATATATATACATATATTTCACCATATATGTGTATATACACACACACTTGAAGTTTGGTCCTTATAGCCGAATATTGTGAGGTCCCATATAATATAATGAAAGG